AATTAATATTTGCACAGGCACAAATAAACCCAGATGTACATGTAGGCATGCACAGTTTAGTATATACATTTCTAGAAATGCGCAAAATGGTTCAGGCAAATTAAGATCCAGCTTGAGCCATTATGCTTTGCTCAACTGGAATGTGAACATTACAGATCTTTTGTGTTTCAGACTTTGTATCTGGAGTTCCAAGAGCAGCAAGAACTCTGGGCATGGTACGTAACTTGAAATCTTAAACTTGAAAATCATTTAAAAAATTAATATCAGATGTTGTAGTGACATTATTATCTCATTTATTTTTCCTATGCAGGTGTCTATTTACAATGGGAAAAATATGTCATCCTTGTACAATTTTACTGGAGAACAGGTATATAAAGTTCTGCTTTATACCAGTGAGGTGGCTGTAAGGGTGCAGGAGAGAAAATATCTTCAGAATGATAAAACCCAGGCATGAAGTCCTTGGCTCTAGGAGATATATTTTGTGGTTAGCTCACATGCCTTTAGTAATCTGTGGATGTGTTCCATGAGTTGCCTTTCTTATGATGATACTACTTAGAAAAACAGTCTTAGAACAGAAACACCAATGGAAACGTGTACAAGTTATTGGTCTGGAGTTGTGTTAGTGCTTCTTGGTGTTGTAATTCAATGTAGTCTATTCACAATTAGAAAAGAGGATGGACCATTGGATTATACTTGTTACAGGGAAGAAGTCCTCAGTTCTATTTTTATAACAGCATAAAGAAACCAGTTTACTGAGGGAACAGGAAAAAGGAATGGAAATATATTTTTGAGGGGGGCCAAAGAAGACATTAATACTTAAATGTTCTCCCTGAAGAATTTGGATCAAATGTAAAAATTCTGTTTTCCAGATGGCTGCTTATTTTGGATATTCTGTTGCTGCCACTGACATTAATGGAGATGAGTAAGTGTTGTTGTTTTTTTTTCAGTTGTTTGTGGAAATAGTTATCTGTCTCTCTCAAAAATAATTTCCGAGCATGCAACATGGATTCTTTTCTAAAGCTGTCATACTTCACCCAAGTTATCTAAACAGGAAACACAAGCTTTAAATTCTGTTAGCTGTATGCTTTCTTCATTATTAAATTACTTCAGAATTTGCAGGTGAAACCTAAAGATATATGTGAAACATTCATCTTGACCATCACTGTGCAATTCTGTGTAGCAATGGGTGATTGGCACATGTGAGGTTGACACTGGAGTTTCTTGTGATGGCTGAAAGATTCTATTTTTTTTACACAGTTACACCGATTTGTTTATTGGAGCCCCCCTCTTTATGGAGCGTGGTTCTGATGGCAAGCTTCAAGAGGTGGGTCAGGTCTCCATATGCCTTCAACAAGCCTCTGGAGGATTTCAGATCATAAAGCTGAATGGATATGAGATCTTTGCAAGATTCAGCAGTTCTATTGCACCTCTAGGGGACCTGGACCAGGATGGTTTCAATGGTAGGACCTTATTTTGTAAATTATTAAATCCATAGTGTAAGTCTGGGCAGGAAAGAGGATGTGAATTCTAGCCACGAACAAATTAGACTGTTGGGCACCAAGATTTAGCCTCTCTTCGATGCATGTTACTCCCGAGTATGCTATCAGGAATTACATGCATGCATCCTGCAGAGACTATACTAATTAAACTACAACATGGACTATTTTAAGCTTCTGTATCAGTCAATGAACTTCTTTCTAAATTGTAAGTGTAGTAGCAATTTCTATCAAATAGCTCATTCCCATAATGAGTTGGAAGGAGATCTTCAGTGAAATTTTGGGTTTTCTCTTTTATAACAGCCAATCCTTCTCCCAAAAAGTCTAATGATAGCAAATACAACCTTAAGTAGGAATATTTCATGAAGAATGATTACATTAGGGATTATAGCTGATCTTCTAGCCTTTTATTGGGTCCATAGGAAATGTTTATAGTTCAAAAATAGTCATGTTACAAAACAGAACAAGAAATGCAAACAAGATCTGAAGAACAATATAAAAGGTGATAATCTTTCCAGGAGATTCTTCTGCTGTATGAGAAGCAAATGTATGATTTCAGGACTTGTATTTGTATGTATATATTATGATGTCCTTTCTCAGGAGAAAACCATTTTAATGTTCAGCTTTTAAAGAACCATATTTTACTGTGCAAAATATTGTATGGCAATGTCTTACAGCAGTGAATTCTTGTGCAGCAGCAACATCTCAACAGCCATTCAAGTCCAACTTCAATAAGACAGTAGTAAGAGCCAGGCAAAGAATAGTCCTGCAAAATGCTTGTCATTAGATTAGATGCTGCAAGTGGTTTTCTGATGTATCTGTTACTCTGTATGCTTCTCTGTTCAGGTTATTTTAATTCGATTTGTTAGGTCTTTCTGTCAGGTAAGTTCACCTTTTAAAGTTAATTCATTTACAAGAATTTATTCATTGCTGTGTTGTTTGTATAAACTCTACTATTCCACTCTGTGACCGTTTCATTTGCTTAATGTGCTTTCCAGCCCAGTTTGTCATAGGACCGTTGTCTTTGTTGCTTTTATGAGCTCAGTGCAGATTAATTGTGATGCCCATAAGACAACTGTACTATATTTGAGAGTTTCTTCTCATTATGATTTATATAAATGTACAGGGAGTAATGTTATAACATCTGCTACATGCTGCTTTGGATTTAAATACTAAGTTTAGGTACCAGTGTTGTCCTTGAATCAGCATAGGCACTGTTAGATTTAGATTTTATATACACCTCCAAAGCTCGGACTTCCTTTTTTTAGTTGTGTTTCCTGTAAGGATTCAGATTAGCATTTTGTTTACTGCCATTTTTCATTCACTGCTATTATATTGTCAAACACTCATCAACTTAGCTAGGACCCTACCAAGCTCACGGTCCATTTTGGTCAATTTCATGGACATAGGATTTTTTAAATGGTAAGTTTCATTTTCAAATATTTAAATCTGAAATTTCACAGTGTTGTAATTGTAGGGGTCTGATCCCCAAAAAAGTTGTGTATGGGGGTTGCAAGGTTATTTTATGGGGCTTGCAGTATTGCTACCATTACTTCTGTGCTGCTGTTGGTGGTGGTTCTGCCTTCAGAACCGAACAGCTGGAGAGTGGTGGCTGCTGGCCAGGAATCCTGCTTTGAAGGCAGAGCTACCATCAGCAGCAGTGCGGAAGGGTAGTATGTTATGGTCTTGCCATCCTTACTTCTGCATTGCTCCTGCAGATCTGGGCCCTCAGTCAAGAGCCACAACTCTCTGGCCACCCAGTTCTGAAAGCAGCAATACAGGCAGTCCCCGGGTTATGTACAAGATAGGGACTGTAGGTTTGTTCTTAAGTTGAATCTGTATGTAAGTCGGAACTGGCGTCAGCCGCTGCTGAAACTGATCAGTTTCAACCGCGGCTGAATCTGGATGCTAGTTCTGACTTACATACAGATTCAACTTAAGAAACCCAGGCATCCCCAAGTCAGCTGCTGCTGAAACTGATCAGCGGCTGATTCCAGGAAGCCTGGGGCAGAGCAA